CGTCCTGTACGATTACCTACTAGAATAAACTGTTCCTGCCATTCTGGCCTCCCATGACTTTCCTTCTCCTAAGGAACCGGGCTCGAAGACAAGACCTTAGAGTTTAAAGAACGGCACTATCCTGGCCATAACTTGGGCAACCTGAAGGGCGAGAGCTGCCGTCGAAAGTGTACTTGATGCTCAACGTCGTAGAGAACAAAATGCAAACCCTGGAAATCCCAGAGCAGGTATATATAAGCAGCGAAAAAAGAGGGGATAAGTTATGCAATGATAGATTAGATTTTTTCAAAAAATGCAGCGAGATAAGCTAGTAAGAAAATCTGGTTTGAAAAAAAAACAAATGGACTGAAATCAGTATACACAAGCAGGCTGACAAGGAATGGCCAGTAGGAAAAAAACAACACAGAGAGTGCATTGCCTCTCAAAACGTGGGCGAGTAGAGAATAAAGAGTCGTTGTTTCCGGCTGTTTATCCATTTTATCATCTTCTTGACGGTTTCGAAGGCTTCTACCTTCTCCACAAACGGTTCCATGGTAATGTAGACGTCATAGTCGTTTGTGCGCTGGCAAAAGATGAAGGCAAAAAATGAGGTGGGCCTGAATACGAAAAACACCAATCGCCAGAGCCGAGTGGCGGTCGTGTAAAAAACAGATAAGGATTAAAATTCGGGTAATAGAAAATCCAAATCCAAAATTTTCCATCAGAACGGGCTTCATCGACTTGGGAGGGTACTTTTGGGTTTGATAACTAACTCGCTCTATTTACATGTTGGACTTTTACGACCAACAAACACTAAACTTAAATCACTCCATTTGGATAGTGATCAAACGCGGGGGCTGAGACGATGCATTAACAATCTCTAGTCGTTTATACTTTGCCCTGCGATCGAATTCTCCTTCCACAAGTAAAAGGAGTAACGACAGAGCCCCCTTCCCGAGGGAGGGATACTGATAATCCCATTTGAGTGCAGCGGTGGGACTATTGTGGACACAGGCAAACTGGCATATGCGGCCGCGGACGCTGCATAAAGCTACAGCGAGGCATTTCACAAGTTACTGAAACCGATGGGGGGGGTGAATGGTGATAAAGCCGACGACTTTGGAAACCGTCGAAAACATTTGCTCTGGTCGGTTTGCCACAGGGGTGGAACACACTATGTGTAGGATGCCTGAGATGGCAATTTCTAACTTTTTAACCGTCGTCAGCCAGCCATTCACAATGCCAGGTTTGCACAACTTGCGATTCAAATTCGTATGCTCGGGTCATTGAGTGCTAATAGAATGTCTTATGGTTAAAACCCATCGTCTTCACCCCGCCCGCATAGCGAGGTCAGTACACTAGGGGAGAGAGCGGCATAGGATGGGCTGTAAGTATTGGTCGTCGGTCAGGTACTTGGAGTGGTAATTACTGTCATTTGCACGGAGTGAGCGACTTTCACTAGGGGGTGGGGGCGATATGCGATTGTCACTCGTATAGCCACTGCCTCGGCTGCTGCTAGCATTCATCGGCGTAGGCTCTTGGAGAATTTAACTGGATTCCGGTAGACAATCTGAAAGGCTTCACTAAGAACCACTCGATAATTCGTATTGACAAGATGTACGAGAACAGAACTCAAGATTGATCTAGTTTCACATTTACTCGGCCAGACCAATGTGTCTTCACGTACCCTCGTTGTTCGGCCAATACCATACGGCTGTCTACAAGGACTCTTGACTAAGCCTACTTGTTCCCCTTACCGCCTACCCCGTCGCCAGACGCCTTCCAACACGACACGCGACAGTAACGACATGAATTAATTGTCGGACCCTTTCCCCCTATCTGGTCCCTTGATATCACCAGAATCAGACCCATTGATCCCTCAACATTTCTCCCCCCTTACCTAAGTTACTGATTGGTTGCTTGGTTCAACCAACCCGTCTATCATATTTACGTCCCTGAGCTAAGGAATATGTA